CGTTCTGGGCCCCTCAGTTCAAGGACAGGGAATTGCTTGAAAGAGTCCAGCACAGAGCCACAAAGATGATGGAGGGAGTGGAGCATCTCCCTTACGAGGAGCGGCTGAGGGAGCTGGGTCTCTTTAGCTTGGAGCAGAGGAGACTGAGGGGTGACCTCATTCATGGTTATAAATTTGTAAAGAGCGAGTGTCAGGAGGAAGGAGCCAGGCTCTGCTCTGTGATGTCCAATGACAGGACAAGGGGCAATGGGTGCAAGCTGGAGCACAGGAGGTTCAATCTGAACATGAGGAAAAACTTTTTCACTGTGAGGGTGCCAGAGCATGGCCCAGGCTGCCCAGAGAGGTTGTGGAGTCTCCTTCTCTGCAGACATTCAAAACCCGCCTGGACATGTTCCTGTGTGACCTGGTCTGGGTGACCCTGCTCTGGCAGGGGGATTGGACTGGACTTCCAACTCCTAATATTTTGTGATTCTGTGATTGTCCACAAACTGGAGGGCTCAGCCATTGCACCCCAGACCCTTTAAGTGCAGTGAGCTTGATAGCAAAACCGAGCTTCCAGAAACAGCAACTGGAAATGCAAAGGGCATTGCAGGACATGACTGTTCACCTCCAGAGCCATGTGGGGAAGCCAAAGGTGGAGCAAGGAGCTCCATCCTTTCTGCTCAGTGAACTCCTATGTTCTTTAACCGCAGCTGCTCACCTGCTCCGACATGTCCCGAGCGAGAAATTTCAGGTGAGTGATGGCTGGGTATTTGTCTTTGCGGGCAGGGTCCGTGGTGCAGCGCATGAAGAGGGAAGGCAGGATTTCAGTGTCTATTTTGCACTTCTCATTCACCACGCTGACGCAGACTTTGTAGAACTGGACAGGGGAGGTGCTGCTGCCGTCCGACGTGGCCACCACAATGTTTCCCCCGCCAGTGAAGGCGACATCTGCCAAGGCCACGCGGCAGCGCAGGCGGCACAGGCTCTCCGTGGACGTCAGCACCTGCCCGTTGGGCTTGAGGAGGGAGACGGTCACCAGCCCGCTGATGGTCACCGCGATCCAGCCCTCCATGGGCTTCCCACCAAACAGCGTCAGCGACGGAGAGAACTTGACCCGGGAAAACTTCTCACCAAAGTTGGACGCTCCGGACTGTGAACGAAGATCAACGACACAGACATTGGCACCCGATATCCACAGCAGAGCTTTCCCCATTAAGTCACTGATGAGTGAGAGCCTGGAAAGGCCCCTTGGCCCTGGTGTGCAGGAACACCCCAGCCCCTTGGCATAGCTCTGAGCCCCCCAGACACTGAGCTCCCACCTCCCTTACAGGGACTGGGCCTCTCCCTTTCTGCAGCCAAACCCAGTCCTGCCACCAACCCCATGCACAGCGCTTCGCATCCCCATGCCTTGGGTTCTCCAGCACTAATGAGGGAAAGGCTTCCCTCTGTGTGATACATTAAGAGTTAATGGTTAAAGAAATGCAGGTAGGGGACTGCTGCTTGGCAGACTACCTCTTCTGAGTGTGACAGAATTAGACATGTTTCTAAACAAGCAGCTTATCTCCATAACCATATGGCTCCCATTACCAAATCCCTGGATCAAACCAAGGGACCTCTTCTGAAACGCTATCGGTAGGCAAAAAAATGCTTTTATCTCCATTTTACAGCCAGGGAAATTGAAGCAGACAGATTAAGGAGGGTACGTTTAAAGCTCCAAAAGAAACAAAAGATCCAGCCCCTGCTGAAATCCAGCAGGAACTGCAGATCTGATTTGTCTTGTTGATTGGAAAAATTCCCCTACTCAGCTTGCCCAAGGCCAGGGCGGAAGCCCAGAGCAGAAACACAAAGGTTTCCCGAGTCCTTTGCCAATGGCCCGAGCTGGCCTTCCTGACCGGATCCCCTGCGGACCCGGGACAAACCTTTTCCACGTGCAGAGCCAGCTTGACGCCGTTGTGCAGCCAGGACAGGGCCACGACCGGGTCCCCCTCCACCATGCTGCCCACTGTGTTCTCCCAGCTGTTGGCCAAGTGGTCGGTCATGCTCCAGCACTTGATGTGGCCGTCCGCATCTGCTGAGAGCAGCCTGGAGCCTGTGACAACGGTGCCTTGTGAGAACCAGGGGGTACGGCCAAAAAAGTCAACCAAGAAATCAACCCACCCCAGTGCAGTCTGGACAGAGATGACCAACGCGTGGCTGGGAAGCAAGGGACACGTCAGGTAGCAGTGTTTTAGGACGCTCGCGCACGTAATCGGTGAGAGGGGTAAGGAGGTGGGATCTGAGCTCACCTGACTGATCCCACTCCAAACAGGTAATGACTTCAGTGTGGCCAGAGTTAACAGAGTAGACATCCCATGGGTGCTCCGTGTCGATGATATGGACCATGTGGGTGAGATCTACACTGACAGAGAGGCGAATCAGTCCCTCGTTACCCAGCTGGCACTTCTGAACCCAAAGAACCTCAGCAGGGGAAGACATCAAATGTCTTCCATCGAGCAATTTTGGGAAGGGTAACAACCATGACTGGCAGCTCAGGGGAAGTACCAGATAACAATGCAGAGCTCGCCCTAGCAGGGTAAGAACTCCTCGGTGAATGAAACATCCACAAAAAGTAAGGAATGGAAAGAGCAGGAGTTTCCTGTGTTGGTTGGTGCAGGTGAGACTTCAGGGCCGGAGCAGAGCACAGGCGACTCAGCCCAGCAGCTCCTGACTCACGTTGTGAGCTCCCGGGACATCACCCACGCCCCCAGGCACATGCCGTACCCTTCTCCTCCTCATTCCGGAGGTCCGTGGTGAAGGCGATGAGGTTGCGGCAAGACCAGGCGCACACCAAGGGGATGGACGGGCAGTGGTTGCTCTTCGGCTTCTTCTCCCACTCGCAGACGTAGGCCAAGTCCATGGCGCCGCCGGCCCCAGGACCCCGCAGCGGGGCACGGGGCGCTGGCTCCAACCTAGAAGCAAGAAGCGGCCAACGCCACCGGTCACTGGCCGCGAGCTACGGCCCGGTCACCTCGGCACCCGAGTAGGGAAGAGGCACCGGCCCACAGCTCCCATGGGGTAAGGGGGGATCCCGGCCCCTAAGGAAGGGGGAAGTGCAGGCC